ACCCGGCCTCTGAACGTGTCCATGGTCGGTGTCCTCCTCCTCTTCTTCCTCCTCCCCCCCCCACCACCGGCTCTGAAGTGTCCATGGTGGTGCTCGGAGTGGAGGTGGGGTTAACCCAAAGTATCGCATCCAGCTCTTTGTAGAATCGGCAGGTCGCGGGGGGAGCACCCGAGAGGCTGTTTGCGTCGCGGACTTTGCGGTAGGCACTCTGCAGCTCCTTCACTTTAATCCTGCACTGCAGGGTGTCCTGGTCATGGTCCCTTTCCATCATGTCCTTTGATACCTTCCCGAAGGTATCGTAATTCCTATGGCTGGAGCGCAGCTGGGACTGTACAGCTTCCTCCCCCCAAACACTGATGAGGTCCAGCAACTTGCCATTGCTCCATGCTGGGGCTCGCTTGGCGCGTGGAGGCATGGTCACCTGGAAAGATTCGCTGATAGCACTCCACACCACGCCGGGCTGAGCAAACAGGAAGGGGATTTTTAAAATTCCCGGGGAATGTAAAGGGTCGGTCACATGGTTGGTTACCTGAGGCCAGGGCAGTAGAGTTTGAACTGATGACCAGAGTGGCTGAAACAGGCATTGTGGAATACTGATGAATAATTCTGGAGGCCATTCACAGCGCATTGGGCGGCCACACTGGCGCCAGAGCGCTGCAGCGGCAGCGCAATACTTGCTATTCCTCTCGGAGAGGTGGAGTACATGCAGCGCTGCAACCACGGAGATACAGCGCTGCAAATGCCTTGCCAGTGTGGACGGGGAGTGAGTTACAGCACTGGGGGAGCCTTTACAGCGCTGTAACTCGCAAGTGTTGCCAAGGCTTTAGGTACGAGGAGCGTTGCTGCAGAGTGAATGAGGAAACCAAAAAACACCCACGCGGGGGATAGAGAGAGAGAAGCAACCAGCTTAATCATCAAAGTTATTTATTGCCAGGTAATAACCATAGGGGAGCCAAACAAACAAAACAGTTAGAATATTAAATCTAACTTAAATTTGATTATAAAAGTCAGGTTTAGAAAATTATAACTAATCGCACAAATCAGGGTCAGAAGGCTAAACCGAGAGAGAGAGAGAGAGAGAGAGATGGGTTCTCACCACTCTGTGAAGCTTGAATCAATCAGGGGTCCCAGATGCTGGTGGTAGTTGAGGGTCTGGAGTGCTGGAGACAGGCAGAGCCCCCAGCACGATCAGTCAGGAGAAGATGAAGTCCCAATGGAACTGATGCAGATTTTGGATCCAGGCATCAGAACACTTACTTGAGCATGGGTAGGGGGTTTTGTAGAGAAACAGCAATGGTTCAAGGGAGAACACTAGATTTGTTTGTGTGTAAACTGATGGCTCAAAGAGTATACCAAAGTTGTTTTGTTCAGGCTAGACAATGGGAGCTGATCATTTCTGGCTATGGGCCATGTTCCTGGGAGGGAGTTCACAATGCAATTAGGGAGCTTCACTACCAATAACGGATTTATTACTAGAATTGGTCTGATAACTACTGAGCTAGATGTGTGCAGGCATGGGTTCATTAACATCTGGAGCAGAGATCCCCAGTCATGCAGTGCTTCCCTGCTTTTCTGGGCCCAGAATTCTGTGCGGTTCTTGCCTTGGAATCTCTGTTCTCCATTCTGTATGCTAATAGAGATGCCTCCTTGTCCCATTTTCGATGCAAATGAGGCTAGGGGAGTTTCCTTAATCCTGTCACCCTTATCCCAGGGGTTTAGGTGTGTCTCCCACTGCCTTTTCATTGCTTTTTGTAAGTCTTTCTTCTGATCGGTTTTGGTTCAAGCAGAGGCGGGGGGGTGGGGGGGGGAGGGAAGCAGGGGAAAAGGGGGAAGGTCTTCCATGAGTCAGACAGGCTGGGTACTGCGCCCTGGTTCCCCAAGAACACAGAGCTGCTAGGTAACAATGTTGAGCCCAATTTTTAAAACTGTACACGGGCAATTACCTGTGAAAAAAAATGTACAATTTCAATGCACATTTAGCAAACCAAGTGACTATCTCTAGGCATATACATGACTGGTTGTTTGGGTTTGTAAGTATTCAGTGTGCATGTACCACCCTGGTAACTGAACATGAGCAGACACCTTGTAGTTTTTTTAAAAAAAATCATTGTCTTAAGAGCCATTGATACATCTATGAAAACATTCCCAATGCATTATTTTATCTTAAAATAACTTTTTAAAATGTAGTGAATACAAATTGTACAATTACATAAATTGTTAGGTGCATCTTTACTTGTAAGTATATGAACATTTCTGTCTGTAATAAAGGTATGAAAGCTACACAGGTTCATTGTTCATATATGCTTTTGCAGTCTCAAACCAAATCTTCTCTACAGCTTCTTGGCCCACGTCAAACATTCTTAATAAATGTTTCCATCCAGTTTTTGCTGTGATCATTAGGTATTCTTTGTTCTCAGGATACAGGAGGGAAGTGTATGAGGCTATTACAAGTGACTGAGAAAATCTACCACTCACCAAGAGAAACAGGGCATCTCTCTCCTCTGTTGTCAATGGTACAATGCTTTCAAACCCTGCAAGAACATGCCCTCCCACACTGAGAGGATCCTTGCTCTCAATCATCATGTACATGATAGTTATTGCTAATTCAAATACATAATAACCATAGCTCATGTCACTAAAGTCCAAAATACCGGACACTCTATATTGTGGATTCTCTGGTGACGCAGTGTTGGAATCTAATAAGATATTGTGGTCATTGAGGTCCCCATGATTGATACCTAAATGCAGAAAAAATGGGAACAGTATTATGTGTAAATAATAAACAGAAGAAACTTTCCTCTGGCTTTTTTCATTCTCTTAAGAAAACCACACTGAAAATATGCACTTGATTTCCTCATCATATGTAAATACTCGGAGTGTAAATGGATACATATACTGATCTATCTCAAAACAAAACTAAGGCATGACAATATTCCTATAGCCCATCATGTCTTGCTTGGTCTCATTCCTTCCTAATAAGAACCTTAGCTTCATTAATCCTATATAATAGTTGACTAGATGGCAACTGGCAATGGGATTGTGATGATTTATTATTTAGCTTGTGGTAAAACCCACAATATGCTAAGTGCATTCCAAATGCAAGGGATCGCACAGAGGGCTTCAAAGACATTGCTATCTGATAGCTGTCTGGTGGCCTATATTAAATGAGTTAGTAGTCTCTGCCTATTTCTACCATTTGGTGTCTACATAATGAAAACCCTCACTGTAGGTGGCAGTCTCAGAGGACTTGTCCACACTGGCAACGTTAAAGCGCTGCCACAGCAGCCCTTTAACATGGCTTGTGTAGTCACGGCACTAAAAAAAACCACCTCCATGAGGGGTGTAGCTCGCAGCGCTGGTGCACTGTCTATACTGGCATGTTACAGTGCTGCAACTTGCAGTGCTCAGGGGGGTGTTTTTTCACACCCCTGAGCGAGAAAGTTATAGCACTGTAAAGTGCCAGTGTAGACAAGCCCTGAGACTGAACTCCCCTTTCATTCTTTGAGATGATTCCTGTTTCTGAGGCATGCTCATGGTGCATTGTGGGGAAATTTGTACATGTTCTGTGGATAAAGTAAATAATTTCTACCTACAGTGCCTTGGATTTGCCACCTCTTACAAACACATTCCCTTTTAAAAATTTCTTACATTACATTACAGTATAATGGTAAAAATACTCACAGGCCCGAAAATTGCTTAGCTTGGGTACTATTTTATCTTTGAACTGCTGAATAACTTGTTCCACAACTTCACGATAACTGTTCTGGCCCAGGGCATGAATATACTGTTCTAGAAGAGGAACATTTGCCAAGTTCCAAATGAACTTCCCTCGATGCAGACTTTTTATTGATGGATGATGGAATTTCTTAAGGAAAACACAAGAAAGAAAAAAAGACTGTATACAACAGCTCTGCTACAATTAAGAAGTGGCCTGATCCAATGCTCAGTGAAGTCAGTTGGAATGCATTGATTTTAATGGGCTTTGGATCAAGTCCATGGAGAGGGGGCTTTGCTTTGACAGTCATTTCATACCATGTGAAACCTTGTGATGGTCTGAAATTAAAGCCTCATTCAAGCTGAAGTGTGAAAATCCTTCCCTTAAGATAGTTGTAGGAAACATTTAAGGGCCACACCTAAAAACAAGGCCTAATAGAATCTCCCCAGAAACTAGCACTATGGTTCCACACCCATTGTGACTGTGTGTGTGCGCGCGCATTAGAGAAAGAAGCAGCGAACACAGAAGCTGAGGACAGACAAGAACAGAGAGCAGGACAGAGGCAAAAAGCCAAAAAGCCGAGCAGTAGCATCTGAGCACAGTTTCATCCTGGCAAAAGCTAGAGAGCGGGCTTTTGGGGCTGTTGGCTAAAGAGGCTTGGGTAGTAAGCTAAGAAACTGCTCCTTTTGTTTTTGGTTCCTCCTGCATTTGGAAAAGCAGGACTTGGTACATGCCTTGTAAATACACAAGATTGCATCAAAGAAAATACCAGACTCCATCAATTTCTACTTTCACCAGGAACATCTCCAGTACCCCAAAATTTGACTAGCTGCTCAGGGAAACAATACCAACGGTGTCCTGGAAGATGATTGGTTTCAGCACATTGATACCCACCCACATCTTTTAGTAACAAAGATTAATTTAAGCAATTCATCGTTCTTTAAAATATTATAGAAGTGCTGGTGATGATAATATCTTACATACACGTAGAAACTTTAATCTGTAAGAATCCCACAGTGCCTCTCAAATTGCATACATCCAATAACACTTTTTGGGCACAAGCTATACATACAACTGCTGCCAAAGTGTAAAAGAGACAGAACCTGAAGGTATTTACCAAAAGTGGATACAATCTGACCATTTAAATGCAACCACTTCTGGGATAGAGTCTGCCAACCAGCTAGCTCTCAGCATACTGCACAACAGTGCAAGGGATAGGAAACTTTGGCCAATGATAATGGAGCAAAGCCATAGGCTTATAAAAAGTGTCATGGGACCTTTAATGTCCATTCAACACAGGCAGACACTCACCCATAAGATCTGCACGCAGTAAACTAACCGCATCTCGTTTTATTTACTTGGAAAAGATGAACAGCCAAGTCAACCGTACTCTGATTTGACCTTGTGTATCCAGGGAATCTAGGTATTTCAAACAATATTTAGGCCACTAAGCCATTCTCTCTCATGAACATGTGCAGGTAATTTCTGAAAGCAGCATAGAGGAGGAGTGGCATACCAGTGCCTTTCTTAATTTTTGCCACTCTTATATTGGCATAATCTCCTTGGGTTGGCTTGGCTAAGCTGGTTTTAGGGGCAGATTCTGCCAGTGGTGCAGTGCAAAAGCACATTGCAGTGGCAAATCTAGCCCCATGTTGGTTTGGTATTGTTTATTTGGTTTGGGATAGTTGAAAATAGAAGTATGGATGAAAATCACAGATACGATAATGAACAGGATACTGCCTCAAAACTAAAATGTGATTACATACTATTACAGCATCTCTGATGCAGTAAGAAGCACTGCACTAGTAAGAACAATGCCACTTGGTGATCAAACATTGCAATTTTAACCTTCTATAACAGGCAATGTCAGCTGTTCAGGAGAGAGGGACACCATCAATGTGAAATCTACTCAGTTTTAAAATACAAGTTATATGTTACTCAGGTTCTATACCTTCCTATGAATATCCCCTGCTAATGTTTATGATTTTATCATAACACGTTGCTATTTTAAAAATGTTTTTCTCTCCCCTGTGGCTCTGTAAGACCCACACAGGCAAACAGAGAATCTAATAGGGGAAACAGTGAAACTGACTATACACAAAGTGCTGTCAAATGTACAAGGAAACTAACTGGGGGGAAAAAAGGAAATTATTTTTCTCTACTATCTGTCAGCTATAGTAATCTTAGATTTTGTATGTCTCTTGAGTGACAAGAAGAAGGTTATTTCTTTTAAATAAATGAAACTTGTATAACTGAAGTTATATGGGGCATATGGATTTTTCCCCATTCTCCATTAAAGTTAATCATCTACTTCTCTCTTTCTTCAGATAATGTAACGTATATATATTCTGAGAGCAGCTTGTCTATTTAAATTGTTTCAACCGCATTGCATTTTAACACCATGGACTCTTGTAACACTAAATTATCTTTCCCACACTGATAAATGCGTTTAACATTTAAAAACATGGTCAGTAACACTGGCAATTCAAATTTCAGTAGTACAATTATCTGAAGTCTGTAGCCAGAAAATGAGAAGCAGAGGTTAATGAAAAGTACTACCTAGTACAAAGTTCTCTTATGTAACAGAAACTCAATTACTAGCTGATTTATTGGCCTTCGTTACTTTGTTTAATCAAAGATGAAAGGAAGACCTTACTTTGCATTCCATCCTGTTTAAAATGTATTTGACTGGAAGCAGCACATTAAGGGAATTGTCATAAATGTCTACATATTAAGCACAGCTGTTCTGTTACAAGTGTACAATCTATACCAGTGTTAACTGGTCATGGTTCAAATGGTTACTATAAAAGGAGAGAGTCAGGTCAAAATGAATTTTCAAAAAATTCAGCCAGTTGAGCTTCTGGGATGTCCACTTCACATAATAAATAAATAATAGTAATACTACCTTGCCTTCTTTAGCACCTTCCCTGTGAGGATCTCAAAGCACAGTACAAATATTAATGAAATCAGCCTCACAACACCCCTTAGTAGGCAATAGTATCTCCATTTTGCAGATGAGCCACAGAGCAGTTAAGGTCAAGCAGCAATTCTATTATGGAGGACAATCTATTAATAGAAGAAGCTCTTCCTACAGGAAGGGTTATACCGATTATGGGTATGGCTAAGACCCCATAGCTGAACTCTGGCTCTGAAGACAATCATTGGAAGGTTAGCTCTAATAGAGAAAGGAGCTGCAGACAGACACAGTAGGCTGATTCTGTCCAGTTTTCCTTGGGTATATATATATTTAATGCGTATAAATCTACCTATCTTAGGTACTTTTATGGCTCCTGTTACCAGTATCTGAGAACCTCACCATCTTTAATGTATTTAATCCTTACAAAACCTTTGTGAGGTAAGGAAGTACTATTATCCTCATCTTACAGATGGGGAACAGAGGCAGAGAAAGAATAAAAGTGGCTTGCTCAAAGTCACACAGGAAGTCTGTGCCAGAGCAAGGAACTGAACTCAGGTCTCCTGATGTCCTCTCCACTGCACCATCCTTCCTCTCTAACAGTATTTTCCTGTGTGTTAGCTTTATTCACTCACAAAAAGAGCATGCCTCTGTTCTGATGCCTTCAGAGACCATCTCTCAAGGCATCTCTCATGCACTGGGCAGCTCCTGATATAGCTGTAATAATGAGTGAAAGCGATTTTCAGGCTGCAAATGTACATAGTCCCAGTCACTAGCTGCTAAAATCCCTAAGGATGGCTGGCTCATGGGCTGAAAAGTTTGGACTCAGATCCAAATTCTCACAAAGTCCAGAGGCATTTAGATCAGAGTTTTTATCTGCCTCATCTGAAAAAGGTCTAGCACAACCGTGGGGCACACTGGGTCTGAAAGCTTTTTGGCCTCCAAAGCTGCAATGAACTCCATAGAACAGTGCACCAATCATCAGTGCACACACTCAATTTAAAAGGGATTTTAAAGAACAGGGGGGTTTCTCTTTTGTTCTTATTGCCCGGTGTAGTTATGGCTAATGATTCTTGGGTGAAGTTAAGGGGAATTGGACGAGATCACAAGTAGGAAAGTATGTTGCTGAAGAAACGTATATACTCCATCATGCTGGCATATGGCCAGTTAAGGTACATCTACGTCACAATCGGGAGGTCTGACTGCAGTTCATGTAGCTATACCTAAGCTAGCAGAGCTGGCGCTAGGCATAAGCAGACCCGAGCAGCTCAAGGAGGGCCCCCTATTTGCTTTTTATTAAGTGTGATGTGTGGGAGGTCCCCCCAAAATATTCCTGCTTAGGGACCCCAATGGGGCAGCACTGCCTCTGCAAGCTAGCTTTGATTGACCTAGCTTGCTACAAATGGCAGTGAAATCGCAGCAACACAGGTGGAGACACAGGTTACCCACCTGAGTACATATTAACAGCTAACCCATGTAGCTGCAACTTCACTGCTATTTTTAGCAAGGTAACTTGGAACTGCCAACATGTGCAGCTATCACACCTCCTGATTGCAGAGCAGACATACCTTCACATTCACAGTCATAATCTGACCCACCAGACTAGGCTCATTGCTGGGGGACTCATTTAACAATAACCATCATATTTGAGAATTCCTATAGGTATTTTTCAGCTGAAAGCCAAATTAAATTGACGAACAGGAGCAAAGTAAGGATGTTCTCATTAGCTGGCCATAAGTGATTTTCCCTGAACATCTCTCCACTGGGCGGAAAGAAGAGAAGGAAGAATTTTTAGTTTAAGTGAGGGAGAGGAGGTTAAGGGGGTGGAGAAGGGAAGGCTATTTGCAGGTGAAGTGAATTTTTCATGTGGTGTCGTAAAAATGACTTCTCCCTGAGCCGCTGCATCACACATTAGACATGAATCGCTCCTGCCTAATCCACTCTCCACTAATTCAGGATATATCAAAATTGAAAATAGTTGACCTGCTGGAATCACATTAAAGAGCAGACACCATCACTTTTGCTCTGTTCAGCATTTTTAAAGTTTAAAGAGAAAAAAATATTCCTCACTCTGAATACACAGTGAAATATACAGTGACTCCCAGTCATAAAAGTACATCTAAAACTGGGAATGCACACATTTCCTTTACACCGTCAATAAAATTACAGACAATAGCCAGAGGGAGAAGGCAAATAACTATAAGAAAGAAAGTGTAGTTGCAGCCGTGTTGGTCCTAGGATACTAGAGCATCAAAGTGGGTTAGGTAATGTCTTTTATTGGACCAACTTCTGTGAAGAATAGGACTAAGAAGAGCTGTGTGGCTCAAAAGCTTGTCTCTCTCACTAACAGAAGCTGGTCCAATAAACAATATTACCTCACCCACCTTGTGTCTCTATTAGTAAGAAAGACACATAGGACGAGAGTCTGTGAGACACAGCCTAAAATATACAGCCCATGCAGTAGGGGGTCTATGGTAGCTTTAAGCCACCTTTGTATCCTCCTGTTCCTGGATTGCCCCAGGGGTTGCAGAGGCCCTGGAATAAGGCAGACAGCTTTTCCCTGTAGGATGCAGCATTGTCCAGAATCTCCAAACTCCTGGATTCTGAAGCACCGCCCCTCTCCCCTCTACACGCCAGAGCTTGCAAGGGGGTACTCACAAACAGCCTCATTACTGCCTGCTGCAGTGATTCTGCCAGGGAAATCATCCCCCCCACCAGAATTGAGGCTTTTAGGACCCCTTAATAGTACTCTGGCCCTTTAACCCTATGTGAAGGGACCAGAATGGAAGGGAGAATTTCACTTGTATTGTTTGTGTGCATTGTTATGAAGTCTTTTGCATTTCTATAGTGCCTTCCATTCAAGGATCTCAAAGAACTTTACACACATTTATATATTCAGCTTCATAGCTCTTGTTTGCGGGAAGTATTCTCTCCATTTTACTGAGAGGGACAGGGAGGTGAAGTAATTTGACCAAGATCACAGTAAGTCTGTGGTAGAGCTGGGAATAGAACCCCAATCTTTAGACTCCCAGTTATGTGCTTTAACCACAAGAGCATCACATGTCCCCTAAAGTACAAGGTAAAATAATGGGCAGACATGCTGTTAAACAGTAAAGCCACGGGTGGGTTTGGGGACCTTGTCTAATATTATCCACTATTATGTGCACTGAGGAACATGGCTGAAGGCCAAGGACTAGATTCAATCTTGCATTCGAGATCCATTCAACACAGGATTGGGGGATGCTAGATACTGCTCCCCTGTTCTCTGGGCTGGTCTGCACTGCACCAGTTCTGGCATAAAACAGAGCAGCCATAAGAACCACAAGCTCTTTGAGGTGAAGGCAGCTGGCAGAGGAGACAGCTCAGTCCAAGCAGGAGGATCCACGTTCTAACCCTGGTTCACTGAGGCATTCCGGTTGGTCACGATATGAAACAGTGAAAAACATGGAGTCCTAAGTGGCTGCAGATTTGTAGTACTTAACAACGTGGTTGTGTTCTCTTTTCAAGCCTGGAAAGAATAAGGGAAGCCATGGCTAGGGCATAGTTACGTATTACAGAGCCATGTACAAGAGCACTGTCGTGTGTTGAGTATTCTATGTCTGCAGTGTGCAGGCGGTGTTTGCAGGTAGCTCTGAAGCTGCAGGACTTATGTGAATGTCTCTGATACTGTGATATGTCGCTAGTTATACATGTTATGAAATGCATAAAATACTAGGTGGGAAGAGATCACTCCCACTTGCATGCTGAGAACAAAAAGTCTCACCTCTGTGAGAGTTTTATCCAGTCTGGCAGCTAGTTTCCCAATCTCATATAAAATGTGAGGATTTGTAGAGATTGTTGCCATGGTCATGCCTGGGAGGTAGGTCAGCAGTCTCACCATGTACTTTTTTGTCATAGAGCCAGTACCTAATAGGCAAAGAGACAGATTGTGAATCATTTCAATACACTCCATTGAAGATCATTGTGTGTAAGGACAAGGAGGTTTCTCCCATCATAAACGAAATCAAACTCAGCTCAAAAAGAGACAATTCAAAGAATAGATTTACTTGGGGACATTAGGAAAGGCCAACGCTCAGCGCATGTGGAGTGTAAGTGCAATTCCATGCCTTTACATATGAGAGTGACACACCTTGGAAAGGTTCCCCTTACATGTGCACAAAGGGCTTGATCCAACACCAATGGCAGACTTTGCATTGATTGCAGCGGGACTAAAGAGAACCTAAAATAACAGGTTTCTCTATCAGAGTGATGAGTCTCAATGGCCCTGGTTACCGTATTGAAATTACAGTGTTGGGGGAACCAGGTTCAATAGAGTTATTCTCCCACCATGCATGTTCTTGCATTGTAGATGGGTCTGAACTGTGTTTGAAACTACAGCCCCAAACCATGGAGCTGGGGAAATAACTTGTAATAAGATTTATTTCATGACGTTTGCCTTTTTTTGTTTGTGATTTGCCTGCAAGCAGATCAGCGTTTTCTCACATCTATTAATTTGAATGTATTTTCTGAATAATTTTTATGGCTACGTCTTTTTCTGTTCTGTTTCTATTTGTGAGCAGTTTGATGCATTCACTATTTGAAGTTCAAGCTATTTTGACTGACCACCTAGGTCACATGGCAGGTTTCTGTTCCCTTAATGGATGAGGATAGCCCATAGGCTTAAGTTTCTGGTCTGAATACTCATGATTGTGAATTCCAGATTCCTTGTTGGTGATTCTTTCACTGCAATATTTGCTAAAATTTGCTGTTTCTACAAACAGTCCTGCCAGAAACACATTAGAACATTTGCAGAAAGCAAATACAAAAATGGCCACAACGTGGTCAAAACAAGTTAACTGAAAAATTAGAATTAATATGTGCAGAAATTCCTTTGGAGAATTCACAGTTCTCTGTTAAACCATGCTATGACCCTGTGTGACAAGTCATCATTCCACTCCTGTCTTTTTTCTAGATATAAACTGCTCAGAGACAGTGGTGCTGGAACAATTTTTATAGTGAGGGTGCTGAAGATGGAAAGCATGGATTTGGGTTGTTATTACTACTTCAAGCCAGGGGGTGCAGCAGCACCCCCTGAACCCCTAGTTCCAGCACCTATGCTCAGAGACCTTCTTCTGGTCAAACACCTTATGCAATCTATTTACAGCGTTCTCCCCACCATCTTTACAAACTCATGCAACTCTGTATTTACAAGCATAGAAGCCTTAGCTTCTCTCAGCCAAGGAAGGGGGGGGGGGGAGACAGAAGATATTTTTCCCCTGAGAGATCTCCCCTGGCTCTGGCTCTCTCAAGCCCGCCAGCCTGTCTCTCCCCCCTGGCCTGGACACTTCATTCCCGTGCCTTTTTTGCTTTCTGGGTTTTCCTCAGCCCACCCCAAACTATCAATTACACACAGCTTTGTCCCCAAGTTTACTCCAGGGCAATTTAACTGGTGATTCAGAGATCAGAAGGCTGGTACAACTGCTGTTGTCCAGCACCTTGTCACACCTTGCTAGAGCTACCAAGGAGAATTTTAGCCTAATTACCTGAACATCTCTTTTAATACACTTCACATGCCCCCACACAAAAGTGCTTGTAGGGGTTCACAAGCATTTTATCAGTGCTTTTGCAATTGCACTTATTCTGAGCAAGACTCACCTAAATTTAAGGGTAGGAGGGATAGCTCAGTGGCTTGAGCATTAGCCTGCTAAGTCCAAGGTTGTGAGTTCAATCCTTGAGGGGACCACTTAGGGATCTGGGGCAAAATCAGTACTTAGTCCTGCTAGTGAAGGCAGGGGGCTGGACTCAATGACCTTTCAAGGTCCCTTCCAGTTCTAGGAGATCTCCATTAATTTAATTTAAAAATTGTCTGTTGCCCTGGGACTCCCTGCACCATGGTAGTGCCAGTGTGGGACAGAAAGCACTGGCATTTCACTTGCATAGGTGCAATTGGTCTTCCTAGCACAGTTCTACAGTGCACTGGATATGCTGGCAGTGAGCTTTCTGGTCAAGGCTCTCCTCCCCAGAGCTGAGGTGATATTTCACCTATAAAGTTTAAGTGCTTATATTTTAGAAATAGAAAATTCGATGGGACAGTGGATTGGACGCAGTGTCTGGACACACTGCTACTGCAACAGTTCAGAGAGTGCTGTATGTGCAAGCTGAGCACCTGAAAGAGGGCAACTGTTGCAGATATGCAGCTGCTCTAGGTCACTCATGCTGGCATGGATTTCAGTGGCATTACTCCAGATTTATACAAGTATAACAGAGCAGAATGTGGCCCAATTGCAATCACTGGGACAAATCCTTTGGGATACTCAGTGGTAGCTTGTTGTGGCACGAGGATGACAAAGCAGAGGATAATTTTTTGGAGGATTTTGTAATCTCTCACCTAATGATTCTAGAGACATTATGTTACCATCTTTAGTAAGATGGGGCGTAGCTGAAGGAAACCCTTCAACATTCAAAAACATCATGATCTGGGTCTGCACTTCAATGAGTTCAGGATTCTGGCTATCTTCACAGTTGGTGATTTTGAGAACATACTCGTCAGCACTGTCTGCTGTTCCCTCACTTCTTGAAATGTGAACGTGAAAATTCTGATCATCATAGCTGGGGAGTGATCTGATCGCAGATACTTTTAATCCAAACACCCTTTCAACTAATTCAGTGGCTTCTTTTTCACTGAATGATGGTTTAATTAATGTCCGGGATTCCTGGACGTTTCCAGAAGACATTGTGTATCTAGGAGAAAGCAGAGATTAGAAGATTTCAATTGTATTCTGCCATTTAATACGGGCACAAGTTAATGTAACAAAACAGACTCTTGGATAGAAGGCTTCATACATTTATTAACGAGGGGGGAAAAAAAGCTTCCGTGTTTAATGAAAATTTAACCATTCAGGATTCTCCATGTGCATTCTCTCTTTCTTCTCCAGCTTCTTATTTGTAACCTCACTTCATCCTTTGCTGCAGTTTCATGATAAGGCCTGATTTTTTTTTAATACACACACAATTTTTGTTGAGAAATAAAACATAAAAATGAACAACTTAGTGGATACTAGCTAATAAAATTCATAAGCACAAAATATAAAATATCACCAGTCAATGTCAAGGCCACCAGGCATATTGCTAATGTACCAACAATTTCATAAGAAAAAAAGGGATCAAAATACTATCCATGGCTCTTAAATTCAGATCCAAGATCAGATAACCCTTTCAACCAATGTTAAGTTGTAAAAAAATAAGTGTAATCCTTCTGCCAGAGGCTATCATTCAAAATTCAACTAAATATCAAGAAATATTCAGTGTCAATATATCAACAATACATTCAAAACAGCAGGACCATTAAAAACATCCAATCCATACCCAAAAGGTTCCTTTCCATTTTTTTCCAATGCCAGTTGTCAGTTTTTCCATTAAAAGTGCTAAGTCAACAATCCTCCACAAAACCTCAGCAGAGCCTTGATGAACCTTGGACTCTGTTGAAGTCAGCAGCCCCCATCCTTTACTTTTTGATGTGAGATGGGACATACTACTACCCATGTGGGTACAGAGGGAGGGACAGGAGAGTGAATGCTTCTCAAGGGCCAACCCACAGCAACCGAACTATGCTCCCCAGTTACAAACTTATTAGTGGCCCAATCTTGATATAAACCAGTTTGGTCTCGTGTAATAGACAGAACCAAACGCCGTTTTAGCTCCATTTCTGACCTGTGCCACAGCTCTGGCCTGTCTCCTATAGCCTACACGGGCTCTAGACCCCCTTGTTCTTACACCTGTTAATGTCCAAGCTTCTGCTTGCTCCATCTTTCAAACTGGTTCTTTCACCACGCTTTCCCGGGGGTGGGAAATCCGCGACCGCTGCCCTGCCAGGAGGGAATGCAGCTTTCACAACAGCTAGGAAGTCTCAGCTCAGAATACAGCCTCGGAGAGCAGAGTGCCCCACACCTTCCAAACGCTTCATCAGAGATATTAGGCAACCCAACTGTCTGGGTTACATCAAGTTTCCCAGCCTCCTAGCAGCAAACTGCATTGAAACAGATCGTAAAGAAACAGACACACTGGCCAGGACATTGCGTCGATTCTGATCCTGGCCCCTTACACACGACAAAGCCTTCCGTGTCTGTTTCAGAAAGACGCTGCGCCTCTCACAGCGCATTCACCCCGCACAGCCACCGCAAAGCGGACTGGCTCCGATTTCACCGGAACGGTTCCATACCGCACACAGCGCTCGCCTACGCTGGTCGCCTCGGAAGCTTGGGACCCGACCAGTCCCTCCAGCTCCAGCTCCACGGCTCTTCGCCGGGGCGGATTGTAATGAAACGTCTGATTGGCTGCTGGGTGCGTCCCGCCTTTGGACGAGAGGCAGCCTGGGTTAATCACCAGGGTTAGGGACCAGGCAAGGCGCGCTCTACGGGCTTGTGTACGCGCATGTCTACCTTAGGCTCTGGACCCAGGGGGAGCGATCGAGCCAGCAGGGGGGCGATTTATCGTGTCTAGTCTAGACACGATAAATCGACTGCTGAGCGCTCTCCTGTCCACTCTCCAGTACTCCACCAGGGTGAGAGGCGTAGCGGTCGACTTACCACAGTGAAGACACCGCAGTGGGTAGATCTAAGTACGTCGACTTCAGCTACGTTATTCATGAAGCTGAAGTTGCGTAACTTAGGGTGTCTTCACCAGGGCCGGCTCTAGGCACCAGCAAAGCAAGCAGGTGCTTGGGGCGGCAAATTTGCAGGGGCGCAAGAATCCAGCATGAGAGCTGAGAACCAACAGGGGGCCCTGGGAGCTGTAGTTCCTTGGTTAGCTCCCTGCCTATAGAGCCAGCCCTGGAGCAGGAAAAGAACTACATTTCCCAGCATTCCCTTGGCTGCAATTAACAGGAAAGGGAGGGGGAAGGAGTGTAGAACTGAAACCTCATGCTGCAGCTTGCTGTAAATGGTAGGGACAGAGCCAGCTCTAGGTTTTTTGCCACCCGCACCCCAGCCGTGGGCTCCCCCCGCACCCCTATGTTGCCCCAGCCGTGAACTCTCCCCTGCCCACACCCCCTGCTGCTCCAGCTCTGGCCCCCAACTGCACCCTCCTGCTGCCCCAGCCCTGGGCTCTCCCCCAAAGAAAGAATTGGGTGGACTAAATGGACATTGCACCTCTCTATCTGAAGCCTAGCAAGGCAGGTACGTGGATCCCACTAGAATTTAAAATGAAAAGTGAGGGAGGGGAGGATCTACTAGACTGGGCAGCTTTAGATACAGTACCAGGCATGTAGGAGGATTTACACTTCTGAGCCATGGAAGCAGAAATTGACTTTTCTTTTCCAGATTCAGCTAACTGTCTGTGCTATTGCAATGCCCTGTAACAAACATTACCAAGGCAGTTCATGGTCACAGGGAAGCAGTCGTCCTGAAAATAGTGGAGGTGGACAGTACCAGTTCCTGTTCAAATGCTAAGCCAGCCCTGAACTGAGCTCCCAAGTAGAGGCAGGATTATCTTGTGGTTAAGGCAGTGGAGTGGGACTCGGGAGATCTGGCATCAGTTCCTGGTTCTGCTGCTGATTTTCTGTTTGATTGGGGCAGGTCACAATCAGGCTGTGGCTCAGTTCCTATCTATAAAATTGAGATAATAATCCTTTCTTGTCCATTGTCTATGTGGATTTTGGACTCTTTGGAGAAGGACTCACTCATACCTGTTTTTACAGCACCTAGCGCAATGTGGCTGAAGCCTCTCTAGGCACTACTGCAGTACAAATCAGTCAAGGAAGATCTAGGTTGTCCTGGCTCATGTGTCAGTAGTTCTCTACCACACACAGTGAGTCTGTCTTTTCTACTCAGTGACATTGTGATGCATGGCTAGAAGGAGTTAAACATCCTGCAAAATAAATAACCCTCAAAAGACATGTGGGGAGATGATGTTTGTGTTTTTGTGTATTTACATATGTATGAGTAGGGTCAACAATATAATTAACAGTCCCTGAATATGCTGTATTCTGATAATTCAGAGGTCAAAAAAAATTCCTATCATTTCAATGAATTGTAAACACGGAATATCTCGGTATTCATCTCTCTTTGAAATGTGCTGTGAATAGTGGAGGAACAAGCAAATGGCTTTATGTTAATTCTAGGGCTGTCAAGCGATTAAAACAATTAATTGCGATTAATCACGCTGTTAATAGAATACCATTTATTTTAAAAATTTTGGATGTTTACTAAATTTTCAAATATATTAATTTCAATTACAACACAGAATACAAAGTGTACAGTGCTCACTATATTTATTTTTGATTACAAATATTTGCACTGTAAAAAAACAAAAAAAATGTACTTTTCAATTCACCTCATACAAGTACTGTAGTGCAATCTCTCTACCATGAAAGTTGAACTTACAAAAGTAGAATTATGTAAAATAAAAACTGCATTCAAAAATAAAACAATATAAAACTTTAGAGCCTACAAGTCTACTCAGTCCTACTTCTTGGTTGGCCAATCACTCAGACAAACAAGGTTGGTTACAATTTGCAGGACATAATGCTGCCTGTTTCTTGTTTACGTCACCTGAAAGTGAGAACAGGCGTTTGCATGGCACTGTTGTAGCTGGCGTTGCAAGATATTTACGTGCCAGATGTGCTAAAGATTCATATGTCCCTTCATGCTTCAACCACCGACATGCTTCCATGCTGATGATGGGTTCTGCTTGATAATGATCCAAAGCAGTGTGGACTGACGCATGTTCATTTTCATCATCTGAGTCAGATGCCACCAGCAGAAGGTTGATTTTCTTTCTTGGTGGTTCGGGTTCTGTAGTTCCGCATCAGAGTGTTGCTCTTTTAAGACTTCTAAAAGCATGCTCCACACCTCGTCTCTCTCAGATTTTGGAAGGCACTTCAGATTCTGTAGCTATTTTTAGAAATCTCACATCGGTACCTTCTTTGCGTTTTGTCAGATCTGCTGTGAAAGTGTTCATAAAATGAACACATGCTGGGTCATCATCTGAGACTGCTATAACATGAAATATATGCAGAATATGGGTAAAACAGAGCAGGAGACATACAATTCTCCCCCCAAGGAATACAGTCACAAATTTAATTGACACATTTTTTTAACACGCATCATCAGCATGGAAGCATGTCCTCTGGAATTGTGGCCGAAGCATGAAGGGGTGTATGAATGTTTAGCATATCTGGCATGTAAATACCTTGCAACGCCGGCTACAAATGTGCCATGCGAACGCCTGTTCTCACTTTCAGGTGACATTGTAAATAAGAAGCAGGCAGCAATATCTCCAGTCAATATAAACAAACTTGTTTGTCTTAGCAACTGGCAGAATAAGAAGTAGGACTGAGTTGACTTGTAGGCTCTAAAGTTTTACATTTTGTTTTTGAGTGCAGTTATGTAACCAAAAAAAAATATATCTGCATTTGTAAGTTACACTTTCATGATAAAGAGATTGCACTTCAGTACTTGTATGAGGTGAATTGAAAAATACTATTTCTATCACTTTTACAGTGCATATATTTGTAATAAAAAATAATATAAAATGAGCACTGTGCACTTTGTATTCTGTGTTGTAATTGAAATCAATATTGAAAATGTAGAAAAACATCCAAAAATATTTAATAAATTTCAATTGGTATTCTATTGTTATAAGTGCGATTAATCACAATTAATTTTTTTATCATGATAAAAATATTTTAGTTAATCGCGTGAGTTAACTGAGATTAATTGACGGCCTAGTTAATTCATTTAGCTAAGTACCGGTGGTGGACCTCCTTCAAAGTCATCCGAATTACCTTTTGTTCCCTGAGGAAATCCCAACTTGTCAAAAGACATGAAATTGTAAAAAAGATTCTTGGGTCCTGATTCTGTCATCTCAGATCTGCTCAGGCTTCGTCAGGGGAAGTTTGAGTCAAAAGACTGAGGTCCCAGTTATGCTGGTACGCCCCAAATATGTTATTTGGACATTGGACTATAACCTATGAACTAGTTCTGAAAGAACTCTTTTCAACGACGAAGCTCACCATCTTTGCTATGAATTTGCACCTCAATTGAACTGAACTCATGTCTGTATGTATATTGATCTTTTAACCATACTCTCTCTTTTGTTTTTTAAAACATTTAAGAATTGGCT